AAGAAATTTATCTAAATTTTGAATTATTGAGATATAAAAAGAAATTAATAAAAAAATAATTCAAACAAAATTCATCGTCTTAATAAATTTGCATATCTTTGGTATATTAATAGTTTAAAGTTTAAACAGCTTGCAACGAAATACAAAGTATTCTTGGTAATGTGTCAAAAATATTGAAAATTCAATTCTCAAGGTAGAAATTCACAAGTCTAAATTATTTCGTGAAAACGAATTAGAAATTGCTTAACTAAGTGCCCGCTTCCTATCTTTTGTAAATATCATTTCAGAGTTGATTTTATTTTAAGGAATTTACGTTTAGGATTGACGTGTTTGGAGTTAATAAGCGATTACCCCAACTAATGAGTGAATCTGAATTTCTTATCTATCATGTGAATAGCATTTTATGAAAGACCAAGTAAAGTGTCTCATTTGATTGTAAAAAGTTTTTCTTAATTCTTTTGATCAACTTAATCATCGCCACAAACATCGGACGCTATTACACTTCGTTTTGAACACAGAGTAACGATCTTGTGTTGGAAGACTTTGGAAAGTCAAATTAAGACGCGGAATTTTGCAACAGTTTATTCTAATGCATGCAATCAAATCTAATGATAAGTAAAGCTGTTCCACGTGACAGTTTAATTCCTTTCCAACTACCATGGAAACTAAACATGTCAATATTTTAATCTGAAGCATGAAAAACTGAACTTCTCATAATAAAAACTTTTCAAAGTTCAAAAGAAATTTAACTTAAATATTTTTCAGAAATATTCTAAATTGATTACTGCTAAATATGTAAAAGCATCAAAAATCTTTAATTTAAATTTTGTCGTTTAATTGATAATTTCTTGCTATTTAAAAGCTCAAGTTTATCGCGATAAAGCTTTTAAAAGCTTTGAGCTTTTTCTATGATTGTAAAGCTTTCATGCGAGCTTCACTAAATGTGTAAATGGTTACACTAATTTTTTGGTTTCAACACTCGTATCATTAAATATTAACTGAATGCTATAATTTATTAAGAACATCTGTGAAGCTCATGATTTTGTTATCTGAAATTGATCTTTCAAAAAAGAATACTTTTTGTTATATGTATATCTTTATTTAATTTCAAATTGATAATTTTTGCTTTCCTTAAATTTTCCTTAAGGCCTAGGAATTCGACAGAATTCCAAATCTTGATTCGTTTCTCTCATTTCTTCCAGCACAATATCATTAGCTCGAAGAACTTCTTCATAACGAAGTCTAACAGCTTCTGATGTTTGAAGTGTTCTTGAAAGCACCCAAGCAGATTCAGTTGATCTTCCACCAGGAAGTCCACGACAACTCCACACAACAGCATAATCAGCATAATTTGTAGCTAATGTCCAATAAATTCCACTTTGTTCTGTTTGTCAAATTGTCTAAAATGATTTTAGTTTAAATGTTAGGAAATGACAATCATCGACACTCACGTCCTACAACAAATTGAACATCCAATTTTCCAAGCAATGGATCACTGTCTGGGAATGTCAAATCAGCTCGTCCAATAAATTCAACGAATTGGCCTTGTGCATCATATCCAGAGTTAATAACATGCACAGAACCATCCAAGTTCAAAGAGTAACGAATTACGGCACAATCAATCCCTGTTTGATTAGCAACAAGTTCATATCGTCTGATTTCATATCAAACACCAAGAAACTTTAAGCAGATAAATTAAATTAGAAATCAGCATCCGACACTTTAAAAATGTTTCAACTTACCGATGTAACTTGGAAATCTCTTTTGACTCGAGGTGACATTTCATCTAATCGACATGGTCTGTCATACTCTCGAGCCATNTTAACAACTTTCTGTAATTTTCAAGAATTAAAAAATCACAACTTACAGGTGAAACTTGGAAGTTTGTCTTCACTCGAGCTGACATTTCGTCATATCGACATGGTCCGCTATAAATACGAGCTGAAGCAGTTGAGAGAAATGCCAAAGTTATAAAGATGAAAGATTTCATTTTTCCACTTTTTAAAATTTCAAATTCTTCTTGTTTGTTAAAGTTTTACTTTGAGAGTTGAAAACTTACTACTGAAGAATGTCTTTGGTCGAGCTTTAAATACTTTTTCATTAATTGGATTGTCACAATTTAGCTATCAATGGAACGTGTCAAGTCTGATAAGATTGTGGGTTTACCCTTTAATCTAACATTAAGTTAATCTAACTACCTACTTCAGAAATACCATTTTACTCTCAAAGTAAGTGACTTATTATTAATAAACTTAATGATGGGTAAGAATTTAATTTGATGCAATATTGAGCTAATCACTGCATGACCACAAGTTAACATTAATCAGCTGAGATCAAAGCATTGACAAAACTAATTTAAGTTAAGAGTACGCTTCTGAATCCATAAACTTGAAAGATTTGAAATCCGCAAAAGAAATTAAGAATTTGAAATATTTAAATCACATTTAAATGTTCTTATAGATGGAACGAATTTTAAGGTATGAATTAAGACGAGATTATTACACAAGAACTTTTAAAATAAATATGAATAAATTAAATCAAAATGTCACATTTCTTCTTAATTTATGGCTCAAATCATGGATAATTTTACTTTTCAAATATAAGATTGTTGGTTTACCCTTAATCCACTATTAGTTCATCAAAATGATTGAAAATCACTTTTAACTCTCAAATCAATTTCAAGTGTCTTTCATCAAAATGCTTCATGATAGATAAGAAATCCGGATTTACCCATAAGGTGGGGTAATCGCTACTTAACTCCAAAGACGTCAATTCCAAACGAAAATTCCCTAATCTAAATCGCTTTGAGGTGATAGCTTGCACTTATTAAGCATTACGTTCATGAAGGTGAAAAGGAAGGAAGTTTATCAGGTGCAAACTCAAATAATCCAAACTTTAGTTTTGATAAATTCTATTAACAAATTTTTACCTTGAGAATTGAATTTTCAATATTTTTGACACATTACCAAGAATATTTTGAATTTCGTTGCAAGCTGTTTAAACTTTAAACTATTAATATACCAAAGATCTGCAAATGTATTAAGACGATGAATTTTGTTTGAATTAATTTTTTTATT